TTCTCTTCCATTCTCCACTCAAGATCTTGAGCATGCACGCACATGCACCTGGCCTGAGTTTGAAGCTGCCAGGTCTGAGATTCAAGCTAGAATCGACTTTGTGGGAATCCAGCGACATAACCATTATGCCATCTGCTGGGATGACCACATTATTTTTTTGAAAGTACATAGCAACATTTTTCCTATATATTGAATTCCTATATATTTTTATAAGGGGATAATATGGTGTATAAAATATTTTAATCCTTTTTTCTCTTAATATTAAATGGAGATTTTTTTTGTATGTACTGCATACTTTCTGCAGCAACCATAAATGGCCACATATACCCACAAATGTTGTAAAGCTTCTTTATAATTTTATTGAAATTGCATCAGCCCTCAATATTAACATGGGAAGAATTTATATCTACTCCTCATAATGTATGCTCAGAGAGAAATCAAAGCTTTGACAGTGCCATTCAATATCATAAAATCTATTATATGTAGCCTCTCAACTCTTAATCAGTTGACATTAATTACATCTTTTGATGGGCACGAGAATTAATCAAATGATCCTCAATATCAAGAAGAACTATGCCTGAGGCATATGCTTCCCTCAGCACCCAAGTGACTCCAATCAAAGGAAAAAGATCACAAGATTGCTCAAGAACACACTAGAGGACTGAGAGTTTCTAAGTATGGTGAGCCAAAGTCCATGTGATTCTTCTCACATTAAGAGGATCTATTTTTGGTCAAAAGCAGATAAAAACAATAAAAAACATAAAGGAATCCCAAGCATCAAGCCCTAAAGACATTCCTGTGAAGGTTAGCACAACTAGAGCACCTCAAGATTAAAGAAAATACCACATGCTGTAATGACTTAAGAATATTCCACAGAAGTTTCCCATCACTAAAATAAAATACTGTAAAAAAATACTATCAATACTGAAATATATCCTATAACATCTCAAGGATGGGGATAAGGGGAACCATAAGAAAACAATCTGGCCATCATTCATTGTTAGTATATTCTCTATTTGATCGATCATAACCAGATAAGAATTCCTGTGTGTAGCCCTTAGAATGACAAGTTAGCACAATGACAGAGCCAGGAGAAGGTGCATCAATGGTCTCATACTTTCATGCTACTTTCTGTGTGGGTGGTAATGTTGGCTTTAATTGCTTGGTCTTGTGAGAAGGAGAAGTGGATGTCCCTGCTTCCCAGGAATTACTGCTTGTCTGTAACACTAAAGAGTTTTTCAACTGGAAATGGATCTGATTACTTTTGCCAGACTTAATCTCTTACTTGAGCAGTTAATGAGAGCTTTCAATAATCTTAATCACATCACTTCAATAAAATGCCTACAATGTTATTTCCACAGGAAATAAATGTTCACAGACCATAAACTCAATCTGGTTAATAGCTAACATGGGGAAAAAGTGGGAGGTGCATTCAATAAAGGGCCACTATATATTGATGATAAATGAATCACCCCTCTGTCTGGACTGCTGTGACTATATGAGACCTGCACTAGGATTGGGTGAGAGAAGAAACAAAATGAAAAAAGGCAGCTGGAAGCAGGAAGAGTCTCCATGAATGAGCTCACCAGCTGCAGGAAGTCACTGAAGTATCCAGAATATGAAGAGGACTCGGGGCCACCAGAAAGGGGGGTAGAGAGGAAAGAGGACAAAAATGCAGGATATAGATCAAAGATACTATCTGAAGAACACTCTCTCCCATCATGCCTTTCAACGCACCAATAGGAGATAATGTGTGGATGTACTAGGGGAAAGTCTCTGCATAAGAAGTTATCCATACCGGGAAAGCGGTTTCTCCTATTCTTACCATATTTCCCCTTTCCAGCCCTCTCTTTCATAAGGTTACAGGCACAGAAAGTTTCCCTGGCAAGGGACCAGCAGTTAGCATAATGGCTATGTTACTGGACTCCTATGCAGTTGACCATGGTTCGAGTCCTGGACCCAGTTGCTTAAACTCACGCTGGGCACGTGTGCATGTGTGTCCAAGATCCTGAGAGGAGAATGGAAGAGAAGGAATTGTGGCATGGCCATCCCCACTAGGGTGATTTCTCACTTTCTGTCTCTCTGTCTCTCTCTGTCTTTCTGGCAGGCACACGCATCCTATAGCAAAAACCTCTCAAAAAAAAGGTGTCCCGGCAAGGAATTCCTATGATTATTATGACTGGCTCTGAAAAGTGCTCCTGGCCACTGAAAGGCTGAGGCCCAGAAGAAAAGGAAATGACCATGAACAATCTCATTGAGGAGCCAAGGAAAAGTGTGATCATCCATTCATCTTGTCCCTCAGTGGGCTTATGGTCAGTATGGGTGATAATGTTGGCTTTAGCTGCTTGATCTTGTGAGGAGAGGTGGATGTCCTTGCTTCCTGGGAATTATGATTTGTTTGTAACACTAAAGAGTCTTTCAGGGCCAGCAGATGCAGTCGACCATGGTTCGAGTCCTGGACCCAGTTGCTTAAACTCACGCTGGGCACGTGTGCATGTGTGTCCAAGATCCTGAGAGGAGAATGGAAGAGAAGGAATTGTGGCATGGCCATCCCCACTAGGGTGATTTCTCACTTTCTGTCTCTCTGTCTCTCTCTGTCTTTCTGGCAGGCACACGCATCCTATAGCAAAAACCTCTCAAAAAAAAGGTGTCCCGGCAAGGAATTCCTATGATTATTATGACTGGCTCTGAAAAGTGCTCCTGGCCACTGAAAGGCTGAGGCCCAGAAGAAAAGGAAATGACCATGAACAATCTCATTGAGGAGCCAAGGAAAAGTGTGATCATCCATTCATCTTGTCCCTCAGTGGGCTTATGGTCAGTATGGGTGATAATGTTGGCTTTAGCTGCTTGATCTTGTGAGGAGAGGTGGATGTCCTTGCTTCCTGGGAATTATGATTTGTTTGTAACACTAAAGAGTCTTTCAGGGCCAGCAGATGACATGGTGGTTAAAACACTGATTCTCACATGGCCAACCAGAGTTTGAGTCCCAGATCCAGTGGTTTGGAAATCATGCCACGTGGATGTGTGGGTGCATACATGCCCAAAATTCCAGGAGGAAGAAGGATTGTGCAGTAGTCATTCCCCTGGATGGGGTGATTATTTGCCTCCCTCTGTTTCTCTCTGCCTCTCTCCAGTGAGCGCACGTGCCCTATGGCAAAATACTAAAATAAAAAATATATATATTTCATCTGGAAATGGATCTGATTACCTTTGCCAGACTTAATTTCTTACTTGAGCAGCTAATGAGAGTTTTCGATAACCTTAATCACATCACTTCAATAAAATACCTAGATGTTTTTCCACAGAAAATAAATGTCCACAGACCATAAACTCATATTACCATAATGTTCAAAAGCTCAACATTACCACCCACACCCATAAAAGAAAGGAAATGTCCTCTGGGTGCTTGTCTTGACACAGATACAGTAGCACTTTCATAATACTTCTTTTTATGTAAAAAAGAAACAATGAAACAATAAGAAAATCTTAAGCAAGGGGGCAAAATATCTATTGACCATGAATGTATTTAATGCACAGTTACTATTGAAGAGTACACATAATCTGAGAATTTGATGCAATTTCTAAAAAGAACCTTTGGAGTTAAGGCAACCATTCCTCATCCATGCCTCCAGGAGTCTCCACCCAATAATCCTAAGGAACTTTCTTACCAAACATCTCCACGTTCCCAGGATCCAGAAGGAGAAAGAATCCTCACAACTTTGGTTCTATGATACATGATTTAAAATCTAAAATTCTATGCTTTTTTTCCTAGTAAAGCAGATTGGTTATATAAGAAAAATAGTAAGTCTTACCAAACTAAGATTGATATATTGCAAAAACAAGATGGAAAGCATTTACCATATTGTTAAAGAACTACTACGTCTTAGATCAATGATTTACAGAAGTTTATAAAATGCTACAAGTTGAAAATGAACAGAAAGCTTTTGAAACTCCTCTTTCCTAGATGTTTTTATCTCACAAATTGCACTTTATATTTTCTCTAACTTTTAGGAGACCATATATCATGTCACACACTATCCCCTAGACAAAGCACTATCCATATGCTGTTAAAGGATCTCTGAAAAAGAACATATTACTCACACAGTGGTACATGAAACCCTGAGCCTCCGGCTAAGCTGGCCTGGAAAAGGTAAGAAACACAGAGTAGCACATCTTATACACTGTCTTTTTCTATCTTATTGAACCTTAAAGAATATTTACATGTAGAATCTTAAGTCACATGAGCTAATCTTTAGCATCTTTTGCACAAGAAATGATATTATAGCAGTAACACTATTAACCCATTAATAAAGCATAACTTTAGGATAAATGGTTATTTCATTGTTATTTGGAGAATTAAAAAACAGAGTAAAAATAGAAAGTCTCTACCGACTCCTTCAATTTAGACTGAATTCATCCCTCTTCTGGAAAAAAAAGGTTTTGTCATAAAATAACAGTACTTATAAAACCAAGTACTAAAAATGAAAACAAAACACCACAACCTGCAGACATCTGAGAAAAGGTAGAGAACGCTTTTGCACCTCTTCTTAGAGCATCCCAAGAATGATTCCAACAGCATGAACAGCACAATTTAGGTCAAGGGGCCAATTACCAGTGCTAGCATCAAAGGCAGGGACAAGTTGCCATGTCTCTCTGCCTGTTGCTGTTTCCTTTGAGAGTCTCTGTGTGTTAGGCAACCACTGAGACACATTCAGAATGTGCCAAAAAACAAAACAAAACAAAACAAAAACAAACAAAAAAAAGAAGAAAAAGAAAGACATTTACCAAGTATTGCTTCTAGAAGCAACTGTATCTCTGAGCCCCTCAGTCAGCACCATCCTCACCATCTCCACACTCCTTGTACCACTTTGAATTTTCTTGCCACGAACTGATTAATTCATCATTCCCCAGTTCACTGTTAGTCAGTCTCTGAATAGTGTAAACAAATTGATCTTGAATCACCCAAGAACAAACTGGAAGCATTTTAAACAGAGACTAACCTGGATGCTGGGGCTGAACTGTGGTCTTCCCCGGCCCCACGCTCTTTTCCAAAGGTTCCCCAGGCAACAACTGAGGTGGGCCTGCTCTGAGGGAGGCCGGCCTGGCTTCGTTGGTCTCCGTGACCTTTGCAGAGGATGGTGGCTCCAAGGTGTCAGCAGAGGGGGACCCAGAGATGACACCGCTCTTTCCACCTGGAGTGTCATTAAAAGCAGCTTCCCTCTCACCAGGCTGTGACGGGAGCCGGAGAATCCTGTGATGCTCCCGAGGACTGGGGAGCCTTGGAGATAGAGGCAAAGGAGCAGGTGACGGCCGTCTGTGTGTGCTGGACTCTGGGGATGAATTATTAAGTACCATGCTGGGAGCTGCCAGTCCTGGGGCAGATGGCTTCCTCTCGTCACCTGTGGACTGTGAGGAGTCAGGAGCTACACTGCAGGGCAGATCGGGAAACAAAGATTTGTGGGCTCTTGAGGGCAGCTCAGCCTTCCTCCTGCGTCTAGCTCCTGGGGGCGTGGGGGTGACTCTGGTGCTGAGGGGGAAGCCCAGCCTTTTCCCCTCTGTGGCTTCATCTAACTTCTCGCTCTCTATCACCTTCAGGAGGACCTTGTTCACAGCCCCCTCAGCACTGGCTGGTGGATTAGAAATGGGGGTTCTTTCTCCGGCTGAGTGCTGTAAGGACCCATCCCCTTGCTGCTCCTTGTCCTGTGGCCTGGAACCAGGAGCCCCAGCCTTGGGTATGAACTCAGCTTGGGCTGCCTGACAAACAGCAATGCCTCTCTCCACATCAGGACGTGGCTTAACTACTCTTTGCACCTGAGCAGACAGATCCTGGACTTTGGCCACCACTTTAGAAACAGGTCTCTTCCTGCAAGTCCGCTCGGTTGATTTCACTCTCCTGCCCCTCTCTACATCTGGACGTTTTTCAGGGTCCTGGGGATGTTCAGGCCCACCTGTCTGCAGATGCTTCAGCCCATGAGGCCTCCTTGGCAGCCCCAAAACACAATCGCTTCCCTTCTCTGGGGAGCTAGGGTCAGGAGGAAGCGCTCCTCTTCTCAGCCCAGTGTCCTCAGAGACCATCCCAGAGTTCCCAGAGCCAAGATCTGCATCCGATGGCCTGGGGCTATCTGAAGGGCAGCTCTCAGTCCTCTGCAGGGAAGACATAAGTGTCCCATTTGGGAGCAGATTTCCTCTTTCCTCTAGGAGTCGAACATGAGGCCTGGCTCGAGAAAGAGGAAGGGAGTTGTTGGAACAGATCTGGTCCTTCCCCATCCGAGGAGCTGATTCCTGATCCCCACGCCCTTTTCTTCTTGTCCTCTTCTGTGGGAGTGCCTCCACGAGCTCCCTCCTTCCGCCAGGCCTCCGGGGCTTCTTGTTCCCGTGGCTGCTCCTCTTATTGAGAGAGCCCCCAGGCAGCTCCCCCCGCCAGGTGCCAGCACTCTGAAGGCAGTTGTCCTCAGGGCCCAGGCTCACAGACAGCTCCTGCAGTTTCCCCTCCTGGTTCCCCATAGTAATTCCCAGGATGTGGTCTGAGCTCAGCAGATCCGCCAGCAGTCTCTCCCTCTCCGCCGTGAGCTTGTACAGCTCAGTTAGAATGTCTTTTGTGGGAGTCTGCTTGAAGAATATGTCGCCTGGATGCTCGCTCGGCTGCTGGCTGAGACTAATGATGTCTGCCCCCTCCCTGACTTGGTAGCAACTATGAAAACCTTTATTGGATCTGTCTAGAGTTACGGTGCCCTTGTATGAAAATCCTCTGACTTCCCCCCTTGGAAGATAGAAGCTGATGTAGCAGAGTTCGGTAATGGGCTTCTGCAATTGGAGGGTGCAGTGAGTGCCTTCCATTATGCCTACCTAATTATTCATGCCTTGGAGATGCCGGTCCTGTGGTCAGGCTTCCCAGGCTCCAGTGGTGAGGCATGTGATGGTGGCTATGCAGGGAAAGCAGCTGACAGTCATCTCCAGGAATGAAACTGCCTGTTAGAAGAACAAGGGGAGAAAGCATCTTGTCTAAGAGTGCAGAAGTCACACACCATGGAAATCAAAGCATGACATGACCTTCCTCTCTGGCTGACCTCAACACTTGGCATCAGCCAAGAGCCTGACTGCAACAGCCTGACTGCAACTTCATCCCCACTCCCACCTCATCCTCCACGAGTAGTACTATGGCTGAGCGATGGGAGAGGGTGCCTAATTTCAGCCCCAGGACAAGAGTCCCTCATTCTACATAGGGACTCACTAGATATGTTCAGCCTAGATCTTTCAGCTTCTCCAGGCCTCCATTCTACAAGACAGAGCTATCAAAACTCCCAGGTATCAGAGGGGCCTTTAAGGTCTTTAGAAAACATAGCTATTTTAACAATTCGTGTTTGGAATATTACTTTGCAAATGTAAGTCAAGCCTTTTTACCCTTCAAACCTTCTAAGCTTGAAGGTAAGTTATCTTTTTAACTTAAAGCACAGTAGTTTTAGACCAAAATATGTGAGGTTGAAAGTAAAATTTTAAATTTGTAAATTTAAAATTTAAGTAAGTAACTCAGAAGTCTTAATCAGGCTTTATTTATTTATTTATATTGTTTACTTTTTTCTGCTTGTCATCTATTTGAAGCTGAGTGAAATGGCTGAGGAGAAGTGAAACTCTGTAAGCCACTACTGGTGCTGTGTAGAATTCAATGCTTGCACCACAGAAGTGGCTGAAATGTCAGTCACGTAAGTAGAAAGGTGGCCACTTCCTTGTGTGATTTGAGGAACTTCAGAAATGTCTTTGTGTCTAACATCCCACACATAAACATGACGTTTAGATGCTATACTGCAAAGCTTTGTTTTTAAAATTATGACATTGCACAATCATCAAGTCTTCCTTGCTTAAAAAATTCTCCCTGGGAATGGTAACACAATAGCCATTGGTATCTTTAGTGAAATTTTTTTTTCAGTTTTTTCCTAGTAGAGTCTAATAGGAAAAGCTACATAAAAGCACATTTTTGCATGAAGGAAAAGAGAAAGGAGGAAGAATTTCATAATGGATGAGCAAATGAAGGTTTTAAAAAACGCAAATAATCTAGTCAACCCAGAAATGTCTGAGGACTCAGAAAACTCACAGGGTTAGAAAGGCACGATGAGAGATGGGAGGCTAGAAGAGGCCTTTTCTTTCTTGTAATCGTATAGGCTCTATTCTCATTCAACTAGTCATCTTTTTAAAGTCTTTCTAAAATGCTCATAGCTGACATTTCATAAAGACCTACCTGTGCATGAATACTGTGATGGATGGAGAATAGCTAGTCTCCCAAACTTTCACATTTTGCAGTTGATGTTGGAAGGGGATAATGCCTAGTGGGCGGTGATTGGATTACAGGGATTGTATTGTGGCGGCAGGCAACACTCATTAATAGATAGACGATATCTCATGAGAACCAGTGAGTTTTAGTTCTCATGAGAAAAGGGGGTTAGTTCTCACAAGAGCTATTTGCTATAAAAGAGTGCATGCTCACTCTCTCTCTCTGCACACACTGGCCCTCCTCTGTTCTCCCACTGGCCATGTCATAGGCCAGCTTGATGCCAAATCCATACCTTCTGGACCTCCTGGTCACCAGAACTGTGAGTTAATAAACTCCTATTTCTTCATAAATCACCCAGTTTCCAGGTATTTCTGTTGGCAATGCAACAATAAACTAAGATAAATAATTAGTAATTACTGGCTCAAGCTCTGTGATATCAAATAACTCGATTTATGAATTCTTGAAAATCTGAAGAGAAGTGGCAGCAGTCCTTTCTGTCTTGTGGAAAGACGGGATGCCCTTCTTTGTCTTCAAGAATCATTCTCTAACTCCTGTTCCCTCAGAGTTCCCCAGGATGAGGAGAAGTATGTGACTTGGGGAACTAGAGTTAAATATTTTCAGAATCTGCTTAAAGTAGAATCACAGAGTCCGTGCTATAATTTCAAATAGGAATATGACCTTTATTCTAAAAGTCTATTCCCAAAGAGAGGGAATCTTATATATTAAATACATTTACACATACACTTTCATTTAGTCTCTTTTATTATTTTATTTTATTTTTTTTTTGGAGAAGGTTTTTTGCTATAGGGTACATATGCTCACCAGAAAGACAGAGAGATAGAGAGACAGAAAGCAAGAAATCACCCCCCAGGAGAGATGGACACGCCGCAATCCCTTCTCCTCCGTTCTCCTCTCGGGATCTTGGGCACGCACGCACACATGCCCAGTGTGAGTTTAAGCCACCGTGTCCAGGACTTGAACCGTGGTTGACTACATGGGAGTCCAGCAACATAGCCATTACACCAGGTGCTGGTCCCCATTTTGTCTCTTTTAAGCAGCACATCTGCATTTTACTCATGAGGAAATTGAAATTCAGAAAGATCAGGAATTTGTCTAAGGTGATATGGCTCAGAAGTTCAAACCTAGGTCTGTCCCACTTTGCTTCATAGAGGCTAGTTTTCTCCTCATCTGCTGTCATCTACTGATCAAGTAATTATAATGAAGGGTTCCTTTATTTTGATAACTTGATGTTCCATAATTTCTTCAACAATATCTCAAATTCTGCTACTTTTAACACTCATTGGATAGTTTCAACATGTCAAATCCAATGAAGTGTTGCTCCTGAAGGTGATCCCTCTCCCATTTGAAAAAAAAAATTAGTCTAAGGCACATGGGCTTGACAGAGAGAAAGTGAAAAAGCACACCCCCCCCACCCCCGTCCCAGAGGGGATGGCCATACCACAATCCTTTTTCTTTTATTTTCCTCTTGGGATTTTGGGCAATCACACACATTCACCAGGCATGCTCCTCAAGATGCCAGCTCTGAGACTCAAACTGCACAAATGGCCACGTGACGACCAGCCACTGGCTGGGCTACCCCCCGTCTTTTAAAATATATTTTTTAAAAGTTTACTTGTTGGGGCCAGTTGGTGGCGTGGTGGTTAAGGGTGCTGGACTCCCACATGGCCGACCATGGTTCGAATCCTAGACCTGGTGGCTTACTTTCTCACTCTCCTCTCTCTCTCACACACACTCTGTCCCTCTCTGATCAAATTAAAATAAATAAATAAAATGAAATAAAATAAATCTTTTTTTAAAAAAAGTTTACTTGTTGAGAGAGAGAAAGAAAGAGAATGACCTTTTATGAAGTCTCACGCCATGGTCTCCCCCAGCCTTCTTAACCAATCAGGATCATGGGGACAGTCAAGCAGACATGTCCAGGAGACTGCTAGATGCAAAGGGCTAAACTCAGAAAAGAGACCTGTTGTAGACTAGAGCTATACATTTAGAAGAAAGCATACAATGGACAGGAGTTTCAATTCCAAGTAAGAGGACGTGAGCAAATGTGAGTCATTCTATCTCTTGCACTGACTGCAGTTGGAAAAACCCTATACTCTGTTCAGGGAACAGCTACTTGAATACTCTAAAGAGTAAATAGTAACAGGCAGGGAGTCAGCAGCGGGTGTGGTGGTTAAGATGGACACCCAAATGGCCCATTGTGGTTCAAGTCTCAGACCTGGCAGCTTGAAAATCATTCCAGGTGTATGCACATATGTGCCCAAAATCCCAGGAGGAGAATGGAGGAAAAGGGATTGTGATGTGGCCATCCACCCTAAGGAGTGATTTCTTACTTTCTCCTTCTCTCTGTTTGGCAAGTGCATGCACCCTATAGCAAAGCATTTTTTTGAAAAAGGAGAAGAACATGTATGAGTGAAATTACCCAACTTGAGCAACAGAGAGAAAAATAATTTGAGAAAATAAATAGAGCCTTAAGGACCCATGGACAAAAACAAAATGACTGATATTTATGTCAGTGGAGTTCTAGGAAGAGGAGAGTATAGTACAAAAAATGTGTCTAAAAGACGATGATTGAAAATGTCTCAAACTTGGTAAAATACACAAACTCACAGATTCAAAAAGCCTAGTGAGTCCCAAATAAATCCATACTCAGATATAATATGGTCAAACTGCTGTAAAGTAAAGACAATAAAAAAAATTTTTGACAGCAGTCATACGAAACTTGATGCAGTTCTTAGAGTAGAATGACTTAAAAATCTGCCGATTTCACATCAGACACCAGTGAGGGCAAAAAGGAAGTAGAACAACAATTTGAAAGTGTGGTAATAAAAGTCCTATCAATCTAAATTCTATAGCCAATGAAAATGTTCTTCAGGAAAAGGGGAAATAAAGACATTCTCAGATAAAGAGAGTCCATTGTCAGAACACCTACTCTAAAATAATTGCTAAAGAAAGCTCTTGAGACAGAAGAGAAATAACACCTGACAGAAACCTGTAACATCAAGAATTAAGGAAGAACAACAGAAAGAGTAAATATCTACAAAAATGTAATATTCTCCTCTTTTTTTTTTTTTTTGGAGAGGTTTTCGCTATAGGGCATGTGCGCTTGCCAGATAGACAGAGAGAGACATAGAGACAGAAAGCGAGAAATCCCCCCCCAGGGGGGATGGTCACGTCGCAACCCCTTCTCCTCCATTCTCCTCTCGGGATCTTGGGCACGCATGCACACGTGCCCGGCGTGAGTTTTAAGCCACCGGGTCCAGGATGCGAACCATGGTCGACTACGTGGGAGTCCAGCGACATAGCCATTACGCTAACTGCTGGTTCCCAGCCCCTCTTGAATTCTTTAAAACATACTTGAGGGCAAAAAGTATAATATTGTCTGGTGATGTTGCAATAGATGTACATGTGATACACACAACAACTGCAGCATAAGAAGGGGGTGGGTAAAGTATTTATATGGTGTTAAACTAAAACAGTAACTTTAAGTACACAGAGAAGAGTTTGGTATGCTTATTACCCTAGAAAAATACCTAAAAATACATACAAAGAGATGTAGTCAAAAACACAACTGTTGGGCCAATTGAAGGCACAGTGGTCAGGGTGGCTGGATTCCATATGGCCAACTACATGGCTTGAGTCTTGGACCTTGCAGTTTGAAAAACACACTGGGTCCGTGTGCATA